TTGACGGAGTGGTGGACTAGAGGAAGAGCTGTAATGGGATGAAGAAGCTCTGCCAACTTCGTTGATCAACGACAATGCGAGTGCACACGTGCGGGGAGTGTACGGAGTACAAGCAAAAGACGATATCGGCAAAAAACTATTTGAAGTTTGACTGTGCATATGATCGATAACACACAGTTGATCTCCATTGGCTTGACCGTTCCAACCCTTCGCCAGGTACAGTATAATGTTTATGGGCATGTCGTGCACACAAAAGTGAACAGCGAGCACGTGAACAACCAACTCGTTGTTGTTTTCCTTCGTGCCGTTGTATGCATAGCGAAAAACAAACGCACCCAGCGCACCACCGGAACTTGAGAGAAATGTGAGGGGGCAGATGCTTGCGTCAAATGTGATTCGCAACCTTTTTTCATTCAGAAGATCGAGAAATCACGTCGTGTAAAACTAACGTTGGCCTCCTTTTGTAACAACACCCCCTGGTGTCATAGCATTTGCCGAAAATTGGGCGATCGGATTGCGTGCATTAAGCATGATATCAGAGCCTTTGACCTCACCGCATCACTCCCATCGACGAGCAAGGAGCCAATGATGCAGGCCAACCGGTAGGCATGGAGGAGTGTCTTGGTGTACGGCGGCATCACTCCACCACGATATATACTGCCTCGCCGGCTGCAGAGTTTTTACTCGCCTCCTGGATGTGGAAGGAGAAACGAAATAATCGTTCAAGGACATGTAGACAAGGACAAACTACAGTAGCCTCGCCTACAGTAAATCAAAGATGATAAGTTGAAAATGACTGGACATCATGGAGGGAGCAGGACGCGCTGTGGCACGCCCAAGTTTGTTGATGTGAGCGCGCTTGTAGCGTACGTACAGTACATTCATTAGACTAGATGTACAAGCAGTCCAACCAATTGTTGTTTTTGACGATCAACCTATGCATACTGTCGGCGTACACTGCATAACACCCGAGCCATATCTATCATCGCAGCGTGGGCGCCCGCTTCTTGGCGGGCCGGGGGTCTACCGTTGGGAAATCGTTCCCCCTATTCTTGTTGGAAACAAAACCAAAATAGGGTACAAACCACTCGAAAAAACAAAACAAAATAATAGAGAGAAAAGGACAGGTATCGCACCGACCGTTCGAGGAAAGAGCCCTCGGAATCCGGTAAAAATAAAACAATAGACTAACAAAAATAAAGGAGGACGCTTCCCACACCCGCCAAAAGAAAAAATCAAAGGGTAACGTACCAGCACCAGGCACTACGCACCAGGGCAAAGGAGTAACGGAGCAAACAGGACAAAAACGCGGCAGATGCGCAGACAGCCAGACGCACAAAAACAAAGGCAACAGCAAACGCGAGATCAAGGTACCAAACACAGCAGAGTAGTCTAGGCAGGAAGGACATGAAAAAAAGAAACACAGCACAGAGGTGTGTGTCAATAATTGTTGGAAAAAATTGTTTCGGAGGAACCTTTAATACCCCGAACTGGTCGTTATCAGCCAATTCGAGAGTATGTCTGATCTCGTTCTTCGCGCACTGAGATTGGATATTTTTTGTTTTCCGACGGCCATTTTTCGGGGGATGGGTAACTGTTTTCCATTTCGGCAACTCCTTTCTTTGACCTACATGTAGTACAAACTACTGCTGTAACATTTACCTTCTACAAATCAGGACCAGACTCATTTGGTCAACTTTAGAGGAAGAGCATTCCCCACCGAAACCAGTTCCGAAGTCAGGGATCCTTTACATAAACCAGTAGTTACAGCAGAAGGGCCGCTTGCCCTTTACAGCAGTAGTAGTGCCTCTTGCCCTTACGAGGTCTTCCAAGTGCCATCGGGGCGAGCGGCTCCTTGATCACCAGAGTTCACAATATTCCTTCTCGGACACGAACTCCTCACGCAAGTCTACACAAAGCAAGTCCTACGTAGAGTAGACTACAAAAAACATGATGTTTTGTATGCATACCAGGCAGCTGCTGCTGTTGGTTGCAAACCATCAACCGGGCTCTTACCGCCTTCCGCCGCTCACCTGTACGTTCTTCCGAGTTGGTGTGTATGTGTTGAGGTTTATGCCACCGATGATATCGCGTACTGTGACAGGACCGATTGCAGGGTATCGAGGGGGCACTCCACGAGAAATATGTGGTCGACGGTTGTCTGGCTGTCAGGCAGAACGTTGCTCCCTTGGACGATGTCAGATATTTTGCGCTGTGGTCCACTGCTGTCTGTGGTGGTGACCAGAATTGGGCTCTAGCACCAAGGCTCCGCAACCAGACCAAAAGAATCATTACAGGAAGACCCAGAGAAGACGTCCCGGTTTCATTTAGGTAAATAATAATAGCGAGAATCACGTTATGGTTTGAAATTTCTCCGGATTTCGCGAAAATCAGTTTCGGATTAGATCTTGATCTTTCCAATAAGCCCGAGGATCAGGTTCCAAGAAACGTTCGGAAATCGACCATAAAAAGGAAACAAATTTGAGCCGCAGAACAACAGCAGATAAATTTTGAGCGCTCGATATCTGGCATTTTTGTTCAATTCCTTGCTTCGGTACGTCTTCGCTTCCTAGTTCGGCAGGGTGATGCTTCGTCCCCCTGCTTGTTGAGGGTGCGAACCGAAGTTGTTATATGAAGCGATATATCCAAACCACAACGGATTCGGTATGTTGTTGTTATTGTTGACTTCACATTAAACCGTATTCCAGTTGCTAAATGCCAAAATCTAGCAAAGACTCTCAGCCCGTGGTCACGAAAGTGCTAGAGCCATCTGAGGATCTAAAGAACACGCACACGTAGCAAGAAAAAGGTATCCAAGAGCCCGAAGAGGTACTACTACACCTATATATAATCCCTGCAGCACCGTACGCGTGCCCAAAACTGAACTACACGTCCGTCTCACCGTTCGACTACAGCAACATCACCCCCTAC